ATGTACATTATAAATGCCAAAAATGTTGCCTGGAATAGAGAGAACAGCAAGAGTTCAACGAAGCCAGAAAAATAAAATGCCTGAGCAACAGATCTTATTATAGCCCCTTTCACACATACAGACCTTTCCGGAAAATTGCCGGCAATTTTCCGGAAAGGTTGTATGTGTGAACAGGTCCTTTTTGAAAATACCGGTAAATTCGTTCTGGCTATTTTCCGGAAAGAGAAGTTGTAACATTACCGGTAATTTGCCGGAAAGCTGCGCTGTGTGAATGCAGAAGGAAGATTGCCGTAATAAGCGCGTGCACTTCTAGAACGTGCTGACGTAAGACGTCTGCTTTAGCCAATCACAACAGTCAGACGCATTTACGTCCGCGCGGTTTGTGAGGATAAAAGCCTTTGAACATTTTTCCAGACACATTTAGCTGCTAGAAGTTAGTCAGATCACGTTTATATGTTCTTCTTAATGCCAACTGTGTAAATAATCATCGATGAGATGCTTATGATAAGCCGTTGTTTGTTTACGTTCGTGTGCCTGCACACGCACATATTATGAACATCTCGACATGCGAAAGTGATCCTGAGAAAGTTGTTCACAATATTGATCATCCACAGAGTTTGTAATTTAGTCAAATGTTTACAAACACAAGCGCAGCCGTTTAAAGCTCATTTGTGGTGAATGATGTCAGAATTTACCGGTATTTTGGAATGGATGTGTGAATGCTCTTTTCCGGAAAATTTCCGTAACGTCCTCGCCTGTGTGAACAGCGCTTTTTTCAATATACCGGTAAAGTCTTTCCGGAAATTTTCCAGATATTTACCGGTATCAATGTGTGAAAGGGGCTTTTATCTCTTCTTTGACCGGGTGACCAAAACCCAAATCTGAGACCTTCAGGCTGACCTGACCAATCAGCAGGTTAAAGCTTCCCCGATGTCTGGCCAACAGCCGACTGTCAGTTTGGTGTGTCCCAGCCCTTGATCCCGGCTCACGCTGTGTGGTTTCAGCCATGATTTGGTCATCTGAGACAAATTTTGTGATTCCTAAAAGATTCTTATAACCCTAGTCTAAAATCTGTGGTTCTTGTTTATTAATTTGGCATGTTCATTAGCAGCTGAAACCTGGCTGTTGTGATCAAATTCTCCCTCTGATACCCTCCTCTAAAATATTCAGACTCTTCCCTTCAGTGTGAATCTCTTACGACGAGTGTCAAACCAAGAGCCAAATGGAGCGCAGAACCAATGCGATAACTTCAAAACGTCATGGGTAGATCTGTGATCAGACAGATATCATTTGACAATGAAGAGCTCAGTTTTGCTTTCTCACCTCCTCCACAGCTATTATAGAGGAAACTTGAATGATATCTATATTTACCTTTTCAACTGTGCAGAATCAAACAAGGGCCTCGGTAAGTAGCTTAAATATGATGATGAATATTTCATAGATGCAATTCACACCATTTAATCACTCCATCCTTGTTTTTAAGTTCCACTTTAGTTAATTGACTAGCCCTAACCAACAGAAAATTGGCAATGTTTGTCAAATGCTCAATCAAGCAACTGCTTTCTATTGTTCATTATTAAGTAAAATACACCCAATGATAAACGCATAATGAGAATCTCTACAGACAGATTTAAAATGTCTCTCACCTGAAGTTTGATAACGTCATGTTGACTTGTTAAGACTCTTCAGCTTTAGGCTGTGAAGTTTCATTTCCTCCTGTTGAAATACAAGGTGTTGGCCACATAAAGACCCCAACACTGCTTCTTCCTGGTCATTTCTAGTGCTGTCGCTGCTCATGAATGTTGGTGAAACAGGTAAGGGAGTTAACTTTTTTCTTATGATATATCATTAAATCTGCCGGGATCTTTAATGAAACTGTTGCATGTTGCACAGCTCTATCTGGAAAGTCCTTTACTGGTTGGAATCTAGTTATCGTTTGCACTAAAATTCTGATGGCAGGCAAGCTTCTGTAAATACTCTTAATATTAGTACTGATATTTGTACTTTGTGAATGATGTGAACAGTGTTTTTAAAGTCAAGTCAAGTGCAGTAAAATAGTTATGTAGGTGGAAGTTGAAATTGGTCATCCTTCATGTTTTTATCATTGACAAACCGCTTGTCAGTGTTATTGTTCCTGAAAGGAAAGGATATAAGTCTGCATGATGGCTTTTCCTGAAGCTGAAGTTAACATGCTATTAACTGTAATCTTCTCAACTGTAAAAACATTCATTGAAAAGTATTTAGGGCGAGGCGGTGGCGCAGTAGGTAGTGCTGTCGCCTCACAGCAAGAAGGTCGCTGGTTCGAACCTCGGGTCAGTTGGCGTTTCTGTGTGGAGTTTGCATGTTCTCCCTGCGTTCGCGTTGGTTTCCTCCGGGTGCTCCGGTTTCAACCACAGTCTAAAGACATGCGGTACAGGTGAATTGGGTGGGCTATATTGTCCGTAGTGTATGAGTGTTTGTGTAAATGTGTGTGTGGATGTTTCCCAGGCATTGGTTGTGGCTGGAAGGGCATCCGCTTTGAGTATACTTTGAGTATGTAAAGCTCTGATACACTGACTAAACGCAGTTGTGGTTTGTTTGTTCGTAAGAGACGAAGTTACTGACCTCCAAGCTTGTGGCCTTCAGATTAGCTCAAGGATAGTGTGGAGAGCTTTCGATATATGCTTGTATGGCCGAGCAGATGCATCAAGCCTTACATCACCAAGTGCAATACAAAGTGTAGTATGCAGTGAGGTAAAGCAAGCCAGTAACTAATGCAATTGAGATGGGTTCTCTGGAGTGACCTGAAAATTCTTGCCTGACATCAGTAAAGTGTAAGGGCCAGGCCGCACCAAACCCTGATAGTTCGTAGGTTAGGCTTGTTGGTTCGGTGTTTACCACACATTGGCTCTCATCTGGTTAATATCTGAGCTCATTGGCCAGATTCAGCTTGTTGGATCGGTATCAGAAGAGAGTGCTCCAATTGTTTTTCCAGCAATGAATCAGAGTGTGAGTGTGATGTGGCGAGTAAACAATTCAAGAAGGATCACAAAGAGGCCGGCTGTAATTCCACTACATTTCTCAAATGTTTGCAAACGGTACGGATTATTAGACTATCAGACATATTTACAGGAGCGAATCCCTCTGTGGTGAGAGACAATAATTGTGATAATCATACTGAACGCTGCTTTGTCTGTGTGCATAGGAAGTTTGCAGAATGAGAAAACAGACACTGCCTGTTGTAGACACATCCTCTTGCACAGGTGCAGAACGTGGCTCTCGCTTCAGTCTGCTTTTGTTCTTTTCCTGTGTTCATGTGTAGCTTTTTGGTCCCGACGTGATCCAACACAAGATGACAACACAGTTGGGTTGCATTGGTGCTAGTTGTTTGGCATCGCTTAGGTCTATCCCGGCCTTAAGGTTAAGTGCGGGAAAGCAAACTCCAAAAATACATGGATGAGGAATTTGGTGCAGAGAAGCTGGATTGGCCTACACAAAGTCCTGAACTCCTTTGAGTTGAATGAGACTGTCAGACCTGACAAATGTGCTTGAATGAAAACAATCCTGAACTCTAAAACTTTCTGGAAAGCCTTCTGAGAAGACCTGAAGCTGTTCGATGGGTGTCAGACTCCATGTTAATTGTAAAATTATATTATTGTAAAATATTACTTCCTGCAGATTAAGCTTGGGGTGTCATTATAGTTCATCTGCATGTAATGGCTGATGTCCCAAAACTAATACAGTGTAGGTCAACCAGATTCACCAGTCTTAAAGCTCGTGCACATTGGGACGCTTTTTGCTCATGTTTTCTGTCGATGTTTAACACCTCATGACTAAATACAGGGTGCCAATGTGATCATGCATACCAACACGCAAAACGGCAAGCACAAAAGCGAAATTTCTAAAGAAACGCCTCATGCTCGATTTTTTGTTTTGACGCACAGTGTCAAAGCCTTCTCCTCCAATCAGATTGGCACTTTTGTTCATGTGTATGAAGCTGCTGAAGTTAATGTAAGCAGCACTTGGAGGAGCTGGAGCTGCTGCTTCGGCCATGCTCGTTCAAATCGCCAGTAACTTTAACAACAATCGTGTCAACTTTCTGCCTTCTTTCTCTGTGTTACAAGCGGGTGTCAGAAGCTTAAAGTCGTGTAGCGCCATCTAAAGTCAAGGAGTGATTTTGCATACTCTTCAGCCTGACGGCAGTGAAAAATCGATTGAGTTTGAATCTGGAAAAACGTCTCAAATTGCTGACGATAAACGAAAACGAAAAGCGTTCCGGTGTGCACGAGCCTTTAGGCATTTTAAACCATACCTATCTTTGTTTATAAATGTAATATACGTTCATTATGTGCTACTTTTAGAGTGTTTTATCATGTCCCTACTGGAAAAAAACTGCTTAAACCAGTCTAGGCTGGTTGGCTGGTTTTAGCTGGTCAATTTGGCAAGTTTTAGAGTGGTTTTGGCCACTTCCGGGTGACCGGCTGGTTGACTAGGTTGGGAGCCCAGCCAAACCAGCTGTGTCCAGCTTAAACCAGACTGGTCAAGCTGGTTTTAGCTGGTTATTTTCCAGCCTGACCAGCTAAGGCCAGGCTGGAAATGGCTGGAAACCAGCCTTGAAGTGGCCAAAACCCTTCTAAAACCAGCCTGGTCAACCAGCTAAAACCAGCAAACCAGCTTAAGCTGGTTTAAGCTGCTTTTTTAAAGCAGGGGTGTATTAGACAATAAACGAGTTATGGCAATGTATTCTCTGTCAGCATCTGTTTTTCTCATTACCGTTTGTACTAAACAGGAAAACAAAGATGAGAGCATTATCTAGCTTAACCACATAGTGTTTCTAAAATAGTCGCAGTGAGTGTAGCTAAACCTCAACAAAAAGCAACACCAGGACTAACAGGTACCAAATAATGCTTTCTACATTTTTATTCTGCCCTGAACAATTATAAATAAACACAAGTTTAAAACTATGTTCAAAGAAGCCTGTGTGTGTGTGTTGTAGGTGTTGCTATGGTGATGTTGATCAGAATGGCTCCTCTTCCTCTGATCTTCCTGTTTGCTGTTCACAGTGAGTCACTGCAACAGTTCAAAGAGAGACTGTATGCTGAATTTAATGCACAAGCTGATGCCAGTTTCATCACTATGAACTCTGTGTTTGCAGTGGTTTCTAGTGCTGATTGGGTTGTGAATTACAACCCCTTACACATCTGTGCACTAAAAGACTCATCAGTGATAATGAGCTGCACTTTTAAATACCCTACTGGACATCAGATCAGGAAAGTGTTCTGGAACAAAGACCTTGCAAAACATGGAGAAGAGCTTGCAGATCTATCTGAGGACCCTGAATACAGTCAGAGGCTTCAGTATCTGGGAGATAAACAGCAGAACTGCACCATCAGACTGAGTCATGTGACAAAGAAAGATGAACGTATGTATTATTTCAGAATCATTACTGATAGAACTGACGGAAAATGGACTGGTAAACCAGGAGTGCGTCTCAATGTCACAGGTGACTTTCCTGAGGTTTCTCTCTTCTTGAATAATAATCAGTGTATGAGAGCAGCACTAGATATAATGTGTGTGTTGAGTTCAGATCTTCAGCTGGAGTCTCCTGCGAGAGTGACAGAGGGAGATTCAGTCCGTCTGACATGTAGAAGCAGCTGTAAACTGACTGACACGCCAACATTCATCTGGTACAGAAACTCACACACATTGACTGAAGGAACTATTGGAAACAAACTCATCCTTGATCCAGTGACAAGAGAAGATTTAGGCCGATATAGATGTGCTGTAAATGGACACACACTCACATCACCTGATGTCTATCTCAATGTCAAGTGTGAGTACAGATTTATTGATCATTAGTGTTCAGTTCTCTAGATCCTGTTTGAACTCATTTAAATATTTGGTTTTGTATATTTTAGATCCACCCAGGAATGTCTCAGTGTCCATCAGTGGATCTGGTGTAATAATGGAGGGAGATTCAGTGTCTCTGAGCTGCAGCACTGACTCAAACCCTCCTGCAGAAATCAACTGGTTGAAAGGAACAAAACATGTTAAACATGGAAGAAACTTCCGCATCTCAAAGATCAGCTCTGATGACAGTGGAGAGTACAAGTGTAGCGCCTTCAGTGAAAGTGGAGATAAATACTCTGATCCTGTGACTTTAGATGTCCAGTGTGAGTTTATGATCATCTGTACACTTTTTTTTCTGCAACCTTTTGTTATTTCAATCAGTTTTTAAAGGGTCACGAAACACCAAAACACATTTTTTGAGCTGTTGACAGTCGTATATGTGTCCCACACTGCTAAAAACACTATTAGGACACCTATATTTCACTAAAAAGTGTAAATTGGTTGTTTTTGCGTTATTTCAAGCAAATTTGTACTTCCTGTTTGAAACGAATTTTTGAAGCTGCGTCACGGTCATGAGATAATAGCGTGTATTCCAGCGTGCAGACTGGGCGTCTGTGCCAGAGTGAGTCTTATTACGTCTTACAGCCTGCTGCATTAATGCATGAGTAAGGCTTGGTTCAAACCAATCAGCGCGCTCTATTGTGCAACTTCATTAATATTCATTAGTGTCACCGTCTTTACACCACAGAGACGCCACGTTGTGTTGGCAAAACAAGCGTGAAGTGTTGCTTTTACAGTTTGCTGCCATTAAGTTTCGTTTTCATTTTCTCTCTGTGAGAGCTCATCTGGATCACGTGTGACAGTGTACGCGACGCGCGACAACAATAATTTACGCGTCTAAGGGGGATTATTGTTTACCTGAGAGCTGTTCTCATCTGCAAACGCTGAAATCAGGATTCCGGATGTAGTCTTCTCTTCATAAAGACGCGGCTCTAGTTGCTGGTGATTGTCCTGTCTCTACAGATTTGGTAAGTGAGGGACCAGTGCTCTTTGTATATTCAGTTTGTTCGTATCGAATTAAGTTAACTATTGCATTGAGTGCAAACATGTTAGCACCGCATTTAGTGAACGGAAAAACACACGCGGCTTTCGGACGCTACCTGCCGTGTGCATCTAAGTTTCCGGTAAATGCGGAGTTTTTTTTTCTCTCATTCGCCGTGCGCTATCAAACATTGCATGAAAAATACACGCTTAGAGCAGATCCTCGAATCAAATATCTCGTTTGTCGCGAGGGGCATGAATCAATTCCCTGAATGAAAGAGCCAAACTGCAATTAAAGTCCAACATTTAATAATTTAGCAAATAATTCGACTACAGATGTCCATGTAGGTTAAACACCATCCCTTTCTCCTGTGTATTTTGACTGAAACTCGCGCGTGCCCAAATAGACACTCCCACACCATCCCACTTTAGTTCCTCCGACACTCCCCCCTAAACAGAGCTAGACACCCCCACTTTTCTGACTTTTTCCAAAGTAGAGGTGTGAAAACACCCTGCTGAAACGAGGGGGTTTCATGGCCCTTTAACATCTATACTTAATGGTACATTTGGTCTATTTTAGACCCCCAGGAGCATCTTAATCACTGAAATGTTGTCTGTAATGCCACATTTATTGCTAACTATATCAACATTCTTCTGTCCTAGATCCTCCAAAGAGCGTCTCAGTGTCCATCAGTGGATCTGCTGTAATAGTGGAGGGAGATTCAGTGACTCTGAGCTGCAGCAGTGACTCAAACCCTCCTGCACAGAACTTCAGCTGGTTTAAAAGAGAAACATCTGGAAGATCTGGAGGAATCTTCAACATCCCAAAGATCAGCTCTTATGACAGTGGAGAATACAAGTGTATAGCCACAAATGTGCATGGATGGAAATACTCTGATCCTGTGACTTTAGATGTGCAGTGTGAGTTTAAGAGGATGTGTACATTGTTTATGGTCTGTATTTTTTCTTTGCATTGTTTGCAATATCTATAAATGTAAATTTTAGACCCCCCCAGGAACGTCTCAGTGTCTATAAATGGATCTGCTGTAATAATGTCTGGAGATTCAGTGAGTCTGATGTGCATCAGTGACTCAAACCCTCCTGCTCTGAGCTTCAGCTGGTTTAAGGAGAATCAAAGCTCAGCTGTTGGATCTGGACAGAGTTTCAGTGCAGTACAGAGTGGACGCTTCTACTGTGAGGCTCACAATCCACATGGAGCTCAGAGATCAGACGCCGTCACTGTCACTGTTAAAGGTAAAGCAGCTCATTTACTTACTCATAAAGTGAACATGTGCTGATGTTTTACTCTTTCGTCTGCTGTAGGACATTCGCTGATATTATACGCATCTATTGGAGTGGGTTGTGGAGCTGCAGTTGTCATTATGATGTTGCTGATTTGGTGAGATGTGTTCAGCATTTAACTGTAGTCTAGTTGTCATGAAAACACTACCATAAATGTTGATTTTGTAGTAAGATTTTATTATTGGAAATAATACAAGAATAACAACATACTCTATACTGGTATTTAACATATTCACTGTATTTAAAGCATGAGCAGGATGAAGAAGAGACATAATACAGAGAAGTCTCAGGTGAGAGAATCTGTAATTAGTAGTTTATTGATCAGGGAAGGTTAGTCATTAATATCAATATCTATATAATTCTGAAATGTTCATAAGCACTGATTTATTTTGTGTATGATGTATTTTTCTTCATTGCCAAAGATGAATGAGTCCAGACCTCATCATGACACAAGCAATTATTACTGCGATAATTCGACTGACTCTGAGTATGCAAATATAAGTGTAAGTTATTTTTTTTATAGTTTTAAACCACTGATGTGCACTTTATCAGTTATTAGTTATGTGTGTTTTTCTTTCATACTGAAGATGAAGACTTTTAAACCTCATCATGACACATGTACAGACTCTGATGATGATTTCACTGACCCTGTGTATGGAAACATAATGGTAAGTTATATATTGTTTTCCACTATTAGTGAAGATGATATCTACACTGCAAAAATGCTTTTTGTCTTGTTTCTTGTCCAGATATCTAAACACTCTTAAATCAAGCAGAAATTTCTAGACAAGCTAAACAAATTGTCTTGTTTTAAGATATAATATGCCAAAATTAAGTGAGTTTTTCCTTAAAACAAGTTAAATAATCTGCCAATGGGGTTAGCAAAATAATCTTAGGTCAAAAGGAAAAACAAGATTATGTTGCTGACCCCATTGGCAGATTATTTTGCTTGTTTTAAGGAAAACCTCATTAAATATTGGCATATTATTTCTGAAAACAAGACAAAAATGTTTCGCTTGTCTAGAAAATGCTTCTTAATATAAGAATTTTTAAATATTTGGACTAGAAGGAAGACAAAAAATCTAAATAAGAAAAGCATTTTTGCAGTGTAATTATTAGTTATTTTCATCTTTAATCACACTAATGAATCAGTCCAGACCTCAACATTACAGATGCAAAGCTTGAGATGCTGTTGACTGACACGGCATATGAAAATAATAGCATTATAATTATTGTACTTTGGACGCCGATTTGGTTATCATCATAGAAATGGTCAATTTGTGGTCAATTAATAATGCTTTAGTTTGAATAATATAGTTGTTGTCTTAGGTAAGGATGTTAATAATTATCTTTGCAATTGTTTTATATTGTTGTGGACTGATAAAATTATTCTCATGTTTATTCTCCGTTATGACAGTATGGGTGCTGATGCAGCTGCCGGTGTAGTTTTCTGTACTGTTGTAATCCTACAATAACTGGCCACTTTATTAGGTACACCTTATTAGTACCGGGTTCTAGTAGCATTCAGAAATGCCTTAATCCTTCATGGCAGAGATTCAACAAGGTGATGGAAATATTCCTCAGAGATTTTGCTCCATATTGTCATGATAGCATCACACAGTTGCTGCAGATTTGCCGAGTGCACATCCATGATGCCAATTTCCACCACATCCCAAAGGTGCTCTATTGGATTAAGCTCTGGTGACTGTGGAGGCCATTTGTGTACAGTAAACTCATTGTCATGTTCACCAGCCTGAGATGATTCATGTTTTATGACATGGTGCGTTATCCTGCTGGAAGTAGCCATCAGAAGATAAAGACACTGTGCTCATAAAGAGATGGACATGGTCAGCAGCAATACTCAGGTCGGCTGTGGCGTTGATGCTCAATTGGTACTAATTGACCTAAAGTGTGCCAAAAAATATCCCCCACACCTCCACCACAAGCCTGAACCACTGATACAAGGCAGGGTGGATCCATGCTTTCATGTTGTTGGCACCAAGTTCTGACCGTAAATCTGAATGGAGACTCATCAGAGCAGCAACGTTTCTCCAATCTTCTATTGTCCAGTTTTGGTGAGTCTGTGTGAATTGTAGCCTCAGTTTCCTGTTATAAGCTGACAGGAGCGGCACCCGGTGTGCTCTTCTGCTGCTGTAGCCCATCCGCCTCAAGGTTGGACGTGTTGTGTGTTCAGAGATGCTCTTCTGCAGACCTCGATTGTAGCAAGTGCTTATTTGAGTTACTGTTGCCTTTGTATCAGCATGAACCAGTCTGGCCATTCTCCTCTGACCTCTGGCAACAACAAGGCATTTGCATCAACATATGTGCCACTCACTGGATATTTCCTCTTTGTCGGACCATTCTCTATAAACCCTAGACATGGTTGTGCATGAAAATCCCAGTAGATCAGCAGTTTCTGAAATACTCAGAGCAGCCCGTCTGGAAGCAACAACCATGCCACATTCAGAGTCACTTAAATCCCCTTTCTTCCCCATTCTGATGCTCACTTTGAACTGCAGCAGATCGTCTTCGCCATGTCTACATGCCTAAATGCATTGAGTTACTGCCATCTGATTGGCTGATTATAAATTTGAGTTAATGAGCAGTTGGACAGGTGTACCTAATAAAGTGGCCAGTGGTGTATAGTTGTTGCTTAGATTGATCAGTGGTTGAAGGAAGTCTGGAATAACTGCAGTGTGTTCATGTGATGCTGGTGTTGGAAATGCATCACTGAGTAATGGAACACTCTCTTTTTTTATTGTTTTGGAAATAGGCACATTTTGCAGCCCTCCTAGAGTTAAACAGTCGAGTTTTTCTATTGTTGAATCAATTCAGATGAGCACTTTAGCTTAGCTTAGCATAGATTGTTTGGATTAGCATCTCTGTCAAAAATGACCAGGGACTCAGTGATGTTCCTGTTTAATTAAAACTTTGCTTTGAATGTTCTCTGAATATGAATGCTCTCTTTTTCTTATATAGAGTTTGAGTTTGAATTGTTTATTATGAATAAGTTTTGTTGTAATGATATTGATGATGGGGTTTTATTTTGTCCGAGTGTTTAATGCTGTTATGTTGTCCTTTTCTCTCTCTCTGCAGATCTCTGAATATTCTCCTTATTAGCAGGAATGTCGTTCACTTGTTGAATGAAGCAGCAGATGTAAAACAGCAGAGAGTCAGGCTTTTCCCCAGACAACATGTGGTTTAACTGTTTAAGTCTGTCGTGTCTTTGTAAATACATTAACATTAGTGTGTGAAACAGCACATGTGGAGTGCCATTTATCCGGTTTTACCTCTTTCTAATTTTGCTTCTGTTTTTATTAGTCAGGAAGAGAGGTGACATAATTGTTCTCAATTTCATATTTCTTTTGTTATTTGAATTCTTTCAGATACATCTTGTTAAGTCATTTTAGCCTCTCCATCTTTTCATGATTTGGTTTGAAAATCTGTAATTATTTGCTGTATAATTTCTGGTGTTTTAATAAAATTATGAAAATGTATTTCTGGTATTTGGTTTCTTTTTCTTATACAGAGGGCTGGATAAGACAATATCAATGTCATTAACATTATACCCACCCTAAATAGCCTATCTCAAATGTTTGTTTGCTTATCATAAATTGCAAAGCATTAACTGTAATGTTATTGTTCTGCATTTTAGTACTTAATCATTGATAAACAGCAGTATGTTCAGAGATTGGTACATATGTGCTTCGTACAAAACTGATTCTCTACACTAATTATGCTGATTAATTGTGTATAAAAACACTGTGAGCCTGTCCTAGAGAAGATATTATACATATCTGGTTTGTCTGCGCCACCTGCTGGTCACCTTGTTTCAATGCAATATAATTGTCTTTATTCTAAAATGATTAAAAAAATCTAAATAGTCATAAAAACAATCCACATGACTAATAAATTATACTGATATGAATCCCTACTATCAGAATCTGTCAAGCAAACTCGTTGACTTAATTTATTGGTGCATTTTCTCTTAAAATATATTCCTCTCAGAGCGGCGTGGTCACATGACTCCCGGGAGCGGTTGTCATCATCTCCCAAAGGTGGCATTTTTAAACGGAACGTCAATATTATCGTTGTTTTGTTTACACTTCTAAGATTGTGAATGTGTCGGTTCCCTGGCTCCAAAGGTCGTAAATAAACCAGTGATCGTGTTCAAGAGTTCAGCCATCCATGCTGAAAAATCCAGCTGAAACCAGCCTAGGCTGGTTGGCTGGTTTTAGCTGGTCAACCAGGCTGGTTTTAGAGGGGTTTTGGCCACTTCCAGGCTGGTTTACAGCCATTTCCAGCCTGGTCTAAGCTGGTCATGCTGGGAGATGACCAGCTAAAACCAGCTTGACCAGCCTTGCAGACTGGGAGCCCAGCCAAAACCAGCTATGTCCAGCTTAAACAGGCAGGTCAAGCTGGTTTTAGTTGGATTTAGCTGGTCATTTTCCAGCCTGACCAGCTAAGAGCTCTTTGGTGCACTTTGGCGAGAACTTTTTTTTACCGGAACTAATAAGGTAAGTTTCATAATAAAAGTCTGTCAGTATGAAGCACACAATTTCAAAATAAAATCCACTGTAATACATTCGAGCACCATTCAAACCTATTACGTTCCCTTACAAAATAAATTTTAAAATAGGCCATTTACAAGCGCAGAACCAATGCGATAACTTTAAGACATCATGGGTAAAACTGTGATCAGGCAAATATCTATAGCTTGACAATGATGAGCTCAGGCAGTTTTGTTTTCTCACCTCATCCACAGCCATTACAGAGGAAACTTGATCTATATTTACCTTTTCAACAGAAGAGAAACAAACAAGGGCCTCTGTAAGAATAAAGAAGCCTAAATATGATGACTGTTTCATCAATGCAACTCTAATTTTTAATCGCTCCATCTTTGTTTTTAGGTTCCAGTTTATTTAATTACCAATTTGCTCTTGGTTAGGCTAGTCAATGTTTGGCAAATGCTCAATCGAACAACTGCTTTCTATTGTTCATTATTATTAGGTAAAATACACCCAATGATAAACGCATAATGAGAATCTCTACAGATTTAAAAATGTCTTACCTGAAGTTTGATAATGTCATGTTGACTTGTTAAGACTCTTCAGCTTTAGGCTGTGAAGTTTCATTTCCTCCTGCTGAAATACAAGGTGTTGGCCACATTAAGACCCCCACACTGCTTCTTCCTGGTCATTTCTAGTGTGGTCGATGCTCATGAATGTTGGTGAAACAGGTAAGGGAGGTTTTTTTACCTTTTTTCTTATGGTCCCTGCTAAAAAATCCAGCTTAAACCAGCCTAGGCTGGTTTAAGCTGGATTTTTCAGCAGGGGTATATAGTATTAAATCTGCTGGGATGTTTGCTGAAACTATTGGATGTTGCACAGCTCTACCTGGAAATATGTCCACTAGCAAGTACTTTACTGGTTAGAAACTAGTGATAGTTTGCACCAAAAATCTGATGGCGGGCAAGCTTATGTAAATACCCTTAATATTAGTTGAATGATGTAAAAAAAAAAAAAAGTCAAGTAAAGTGCAGTAAAATAACTGAAAGTTATGAAGGTTGAAGTTGAAATGGGACATCTTTGAGTTTTTATTGTTGACAAACCAGCTTGTCAGAGTCATCGTTCTGCAGGGAGAAGACTGAGGCCGACATGATGGTTATGAAAAGCTCCAATACAGTGAATAAATGCAGTTGTGGTTAAAAGTCGCTTTTTCCATTGGTAAGAGATGAAGTTACAGACCTCCAGACTTGTAGACTTCAGAATAGCTCAAGAATAGCTTCCGATATATGGTTGTATGGCCGAGCAGATGCATCAAGCCTTACATTAACAAGTGCAATACAAAGTGTGGTATGCAGTGAGGTAAAGCATGTTCGCAGTTGAGACATGTTCTGTGGAGTGACCAGAAAGTTCTTGCCTGACTGCATTGTGCCAAATGTAAGGGCCAATACACACCAAGCCCTGATGGTTAGCCATTGGGCCTTGTAGGTTAGGCTAGTTGGTTTGTTGTTTTGGTCACACTTTACAATAAAGTTTATTAGTTAATGTTAATTAATGCATTTACTAACATGAACAGTGAACAATACATTTGCTACCGTATTTATTCATGTTAGTTAATGAAAATCCAGTAGTTCATTGTTAGTTCATGTTAACTCATGGTGCATTAATGTTAACAAGCATGGACTTGGATGTTATTAATACATTAGTAAATGTTCAATTATGATTAATAAATGCTCTACAAGTGTTGTTCATGATTAGCTCATGTTAGTAAATGCATTAACTAATGAACCTTATTGTAAAGTGTTACCAAAATAAAAAAGCTGAACAATCACATGTACATCAGTGTTCAGTGTTAGACATTGTAAATCATGCAAATCTTTGTTTATAAACTAAATGAACTTTTGTTTTCTGCTACTTTTATTAAGTGGAGGTTTTGTATCTGAGTGTTTATCGTGTGTTTAAGACAAAGAATGAGATACGGCAATTATTACTCTCTCAGCCTCTGTTTTTCTGCCACTCTTTGTACTGAACAGGAAGACGGAGATGAGAGCATTATCTACAGCCACACAGTGCTTGTAAAATAGTCACAGTGAGTGTAGCTAAACCTCAACAAAAAGTAGCATCTGGACTGAAAGAGACCTAATAGTGATATCTTCATGTGTGTTCTGCCCTATGCAATTAGAAATGAAAACAAGTTTAAAATAATGATTAATGACAACTCAAAAATAAGACAATGTGTGTGTGTTGTAGGTGTTGCTATGGTGATGTTGATCAGAATGGCTCCTCTTCCTCTGATCTTCCTGTTTGCTGTTCACAGTGAGTCACTGCAACAGTTCAAAGAGAGAATGTGTGCTGCATTTAATGCACAATTCATCACTATGAACTCTGTGTTTTCAGTGGTTTCTAGTGCTGATTGGGCTGTGAATTACAACCCCTTACACATCTGTGCACTAAAAGACTCATCAGTGATAATGAGCTGCACTTATAAATACCCTACTGGACATCAGATCAGGAAAGTGTTCTGGAACAAAAACCTTGCAAAACATCGAGAAGAGCTTGCAGATCTGTCTGTGGACCCTGAATACAGTCAGAGGCTTCAGTATCTGGGAGATAAACGGCAGAACTGCACCGTCAGACTGAGTCATGTGACAAAGAAAGATGAACACAAGTATTATTTCAGATTCACTACTGATAAAACAAGAGGAAAAGGGACTGGTAATACAGGAGTGCGTCTCTCTGTCACAGGTGACTCTCCTGAGGTTTCTCTCTTCTTGTGGTCATTATGTAGAATAATAATCAGTGTATGAGAGCAGCACTAGATATAATGTGTGTGTTGTGTTCAGATCTTCAGCTGGAGTCTCCTGAGAGAGTGACAGAGGGAGATTCAGTCCGTCTGACATGTAGAAGCAGCTGTAATCTGACTGACACACCAACATTCATCTGGTACAGAAACTCAGAGAGATTGACTGAAGGAACTATTGGAGACAAACTCATCCTCAATCCAGTCAGAAGAGAAGATTTAGGCAGATATAGATGTGCTGTAGATGGACTCACATCACCTGAGGTCTATCTCAATGTCACCTGTGAGTGCAGATTCATTGATTTTTAGTGTTTAGTTCTCTACTGGAGATTCTGTTTGATTAAAGATTTGGTTTTGTTCATTTTAGATCCTCCAAAGAGCGTTTCAGTGTCCATCAGTGGATCTGCTGTAATAATGTCTGGAGATTCAGTGACTCTGAGCTGCAGCAGCGACTCAAACCCTCCTGCACAAATCTTCTGGTATAAAGGAATAGAATATGTTGAATATGGAAGAATCTTCAACATCTCCAGGATCAGCTCTGATGACAGTGGAGAATACAAGTGTAGAGCCTACAGTGAAAGTGGAGATAAATACTCTGATCCTGTGACTTTAAATGTCCAGTGTGAGTTTATGATCATTTCTACAGTTCATTGTTTTAAAAAAGCCTAATAAATAATAATTATAATATTTATCTATAATAACTTGTAAATTTGGTCTTTTTTTAGACCCCCCCAGGAACGTCTCAGTGTCTATAAATGGATCTGCTGTAATAATGTCTGGAGATTCAGTGAGTCTGATGTGCATCAGTGACTCAAACCCTCCTGCTCTGAACTTCAGCTGGTTTAAGGAGAATCAAAGCTCAGCTGTTGGATCTGGACAGAGTTTCAGTGCAGTACAGAGTGGACGCTTCTACTGTGAGGCTCACAATCCACATGGAGCTCAGAGATCAGCCGCCGTCACTGTCACTGTTAAAGGTAAAGCAGCTCATTTACTTACTCATAAAGTGAACATGTGCTGATGTTTTACTCTTTCGTCTGCTGTAGGACATTCGCTAATATTATACGCATCTATTGGAGTGGGTTGTGGAGCTGCAGTTGTCATTATGATGTTGCTGATTTGGTGAGATGTGTTCAGCATTAACTGTAGTCTAGTTGTCATGAAAACACTACCATAAATGTTGATTTTTTTAGTAAGATTTTATTATTGGAAATAATACAAGAATAACAACATACTCTATACTGGTAACATATTCACTGTATTTAAAGCATGAGCAGGATGAAGAAGAGACATAATACAGAGCAGTCTCAGGTGAGAGAATCTGTAATTAGTAGTTTATTGATCAGGGAAGGTTAGTCATAAATATTAATATCTATATAATTCTGAATTGTTCATAAGCACTGGTTTTTGTGTGTGATGTATTTTTCTTCATTGCCAAAGATGAATGAGTCCAGACCTCATCATGACACAAGCAATTATTACTGCGATAATTCGACTGACTCTGAGTATGCAAATATAAGTGTAAGTTATTTTTTATATAGTTTTAAACCACTGATGTGCACTTTATCAGTTATTAGTTATGTGTGTTTTTCTTTCATACTGAAGATGAAGACTTTTAAACCTCATCATGACACATGTACAGACTCTGATGATGATTTCACTGACCCTGTGTATGGAAACATAATGGTAAGTTATATTTCGTTTTCCACTATTAGTAAAGATGATATCTACACTGCAAAAATGCTTTTTGTCTTGTTTCTTGTCCAACTATCTAAACACTCTTAAATCAAGCAGAAATTTCTAGACAAGCTAAACAAACTGTCTTGTTTTAAGATATAATATGCCAAAATTAAGTGAGTTTTTCCTTAAAACAAGTTAAATAATCTGCCAATGGGGTTAGCAAAATAATCTTAGGTCAAAAGGAAAAACAAGATTTTGTTGCTGACCCCATTTGCAGATTATTTTGCTTGTTTTAAGGAAAACCTCATTAAATATTGGCATATTATTTCTGAAAACAAGAAAGAATTTTTAAATATTTGGACTGGAAACAAGAAAAAAAATCTAAATAAGAAAAGCATTTTTGCAGTGTAATTATTAGTTATTTTCCACCTTTAATTAGACTAATGAATCAGTCCAGACCTCAACTTTACAGATGCAAAGCTTGAGACGCTGTTGACTGACCCGGCATATGAAAATAATAGCATTATAATTATTGTACTTTGGACGCCGATTTGGTTATCATCATAGAAATGGTCAATTTGTGGTTAATTCTGTGGTTAACCCGGTGTGGTCTTCTGCTGCTGTAGCCCATCCGCCTCAAGGTTGGACGTGTTGTGTGTTCAGAGATGCTCTTCTGCAGACCTCGATTGTAACGAGTGCTTATTTGAGTTACTGTTGCCTTTGTATCAGCATGAACCAGTCTGGCCATTCTCCTCTGACCTTTGGCATCAACAAGGCATTTGCGCCCACAGAACTGCCGCTCACTGGATATATTCTCTTTTTCAGACCATTCACTGTAAACCCTAGAGATGGTTGTGCGTAAAAATCCCAGTAGATCAGCAGTTTCTGAAATACTCAGAGCAGCTCGTCTTGCAGCAACAACCATGCCACGTGTAAAGTCACCCAAATCCCCTTTCTTCCCCATTCTGATGCTCACTTTGAACTGCAGCAGATCGTCTTGACCATGTGTACATGCCTAAATGCATTGAGCTGCCCATGTGATTGGCTGATTAGACATTTGAGCTGTTGGACAGGTGTACCTAATAAAGTGGCCGGTGGGTGTATAGTTGTTGCTTAGATTGGTCGGTGGTTGAATGAAGTGTGGAAAAACTACAGTGTGTTCATGTGGTGCTGGTGTTGGAAATGCATCCCTGAGTAATGGCATTTTACAACTCTCCTAGAGTTAAACAGTGGAGTTTTTCCATTTTTAAATCAATTCAGATGATCTCTGGGTCTGGTGGGAGCACTTTAGTTTAGCTTAGCATAGATTGCTTGAATTAAAAGTCTCAGTAATGTTCCTACTTAGTTAAAGCTTAGCTTTGTGAATGCTCTGAATGTGAATGCTCTTTATTTCTACAGAGTTTGAATTATTATGAATAAGTTTTGTTGTAATGATATTGATGATGGGGTTTTATTTTGTCCGAGTGTTTAATGCTGTTATGTTGTCCTTTTCTCTCTCTCTGCAGATCTCTGAATATTCTCCTTATTAGCAGGAGTGTCGTTCACTTGTTGAATGAAGCAGCAGATGTAAAACAGCAGAGAGTCAGGCTTTTCCCCAGACAACATGTGGTTTAACTGTTTAAGTCTGTCGTGTCTTTGTAAATACATTAACATTAGTGTGTGAAACAGCACATGTGGAGTGCCATTTATCCGGTTTTACCTCTTTCTAATTTTGCTTCTGTTTTTATTAGTCAGGTTGAGGTCAGATAATTGTGTTTACTCTCATATTTCTTTTGTTATTTGAATTATTTCAGATGCATCTTGTTTAGTCATTTTGGCCTCTCCATCTTTTCATGATATGGTTTGAAAATCTGTAATTATTTGCTTTATAATTTCTGGTATTTTAATAAAATATTATGTAAAGTATTTGGTTTTTTTTTTTATTCAGAGGACTGATTAACTTTATATCCACCCCAAATATCTCAAAAGTTTGTTTGCTTATCATAATTAGCAAAGCTGTAATTGTAATGTTGCTAATGTTTTTTCTGTATTTCAGTACTAATTATTAATAAACAGCAGTATGTTCACAGATTGGTAGGACATATAGGCTACGCACAAAATGTGTAGATTCTCTAGTTATGCTGATTAACTGTGTATTAAAACATTGTGAGCCTGTCCTAGAGAAGATCTTCTCTTCTTATCTGATCTGTTTTTGCCACCTGCTGGTCACCTTGCTTCAATGCAATACAATTGTCTTCCTTTCCAAACCCTACTGAAAAAAACAGCTTAAACCAGCCTAGGCTGGTTGGCTGGTTTTAGCTGGTCGACCAGGCTGGTTTTAGAGGGGTTTTGGCCATTTCCAGGCTGGTTTCCAGCCATTTCCAGCCTGGTCTTAGCTGGTCAGGCTGGGAGATGACCAGCTAAAACCAGCTTGACCAGCCTAGCCAGGCTGGGAGCCCAGCCAAAACCAGCTATGTCCAGCTTAAACCAGGCTGGTCAAGCTGGTTTTAGCTGGATTTAGCTGGTCATTTTCCAGCATGACCAGCTAAGACCAGGCTGGAAATGGCTGGAAACCAGCCTGGAAATGGCCAAAACCCCTCTAAAACCAGCCTGGTTGACCAGCTAAAACCAGCCAACCAGCCAAGGCTGGTTTAAGCTGGATTTTTCAGCAGGGAAATGATTCAAAAATCTAAATAGAGGTTAGCGCGCCGACTTATGGTGCAGCAGCACGTCAGGGCATCGCGAGTTTGGGTCACCCCCCAACTTTGCTTCCTGTCTCATTACTGTCCAATCTAATAAAGGCAAAAAGGTCAAAAGAAAAAAGAAAGAAAAAGAATAGTCATAAAAATAACCCTCATGACTAATAAATTATACTGATATGAATCCCTACTATCAGAAATGTTTAGCAAAATCGTTGACTATTAATTTATTGATGCAATTTCTCTTAAAATGTTTATTCCTCTCAGCGCGACGTGGTCACATGACTCCCGGGAGCGGTTGTCGTCATCTCCCAAAGGCGCCATTTTAAACATGAACTTAAAATTAAAAGTTAATCATGACCTGCTTTATCTGTCAGTTCGTCAAGGTGCTGAGAGAACAAGGATTGCAGTGGCATGTGGAGGATTATTCATCAGCATGCTACTCCTTATAATGCAAGTAAAATTAAGAACATAAACACAACTGGCTGTCACACTAATGCAGAATGATATCTTATTATATTATTATTATCAACACAGTTAGTGCATTGTGTTTATTTTTTGATGACAGTAGGCCACCTAATATAAAGTGGGATCAATAAAACATATTATTGTACTCAGCTAGAATGTAAAAGTTACCCTGCTGAAAAATCCAGCTTAAACCAGCCTAGGCTGGTTGGCTGGTTTTAGCTGGTCAACCAGGCTGGTTTTAGAGAGGTTTTGGCCACTTCCAGGCTGGTTTTCAGCCATTTCCAGCCTGGTCTAAGCTGGTTAGGCTGGGAGATGACCAGCTAAAACCAGCTTGACCAGCCTAGCCATGCTGGGAGCCCAGCCAAAACCAGCTATGTCCAGCTTAAACCAGGCTGGTCAAGCTGGTTTTAGCTGGATTTAGCTGGTCATTTTCCAGCCTGACCAGCTAAGACCAGGCTGGAAATGGCTGGAAACCAGCCTGGAAGTCGCCAAAACCCCTCTAAAACCAGCCTGGTCGACCAGCTAAAACCAGCCAACCAGCCTAGGCTGGTTTAAGCTGGATTTTTTAGCAGGGTACCTGGGATAAAGAGAGAGAAGACCAAGAGCTTAATGAAGCCAGAATAATAAAAGGAGAGACTAAAAAGCCTGAGCAACAGATCTTTTATCTCTTCTTAAACCAGGTGACCAAAACCCAAATCTGAGACCCTCAGACCAATGTGCTGGTTAGAGCTTCCTCAATATCTGACCACACTGTAAACCACTGAAATAAACAGAAGTCAAGCCTATACCTGTTTTTTTTATCAGCACTTCTGTGCCTTTTGGAAAACTAAATGATACTTATGGTAATTTTTTTATTTAATTTTTAAAATCTTTTTGCAATGCTAACAATTTCCTTTGATGATTTTCATCTTTCTTTGAAAGCCTTTCACTTTCATTAGAATGTTTCTCTGTTTTTACCCAGTTTGACCAGCAGATGTCCTCAGCGAGAGGTGTTCCCCTAGCATCATTTACACCAGGGGTACTCAAACTTTTCAGCCCACGACCCCTAAAATAACAACTCCAGTGACTCACGACCCCCACTGTGCTTGGAGGTGGTTATAATCAAACGATTATTGCGCACAATGGTGCACACACACCAAAAGGAACTATATAAACATAACAGTGGCGTAGCGCAAAATGCGGAGGCCCCCCTGCAGGGATCGCCTACGTCATACGTCAATTTGCATATCACTGACGTCATCACGTTCTACCATTGCTGTTTGTTTAACAGCCTATGGTTAATAAAGGGGTATTTATAATTGCACTACACTTTATATAAGCATGTTTATTTAACTAAATGTATTGCTGTTTGAATACAGTATGTCATTATAGATGTGTAGTGAATGTGCAGTAATCTCATATGTAATAAACTCAGACAAGTTCAGAAACTGTCACTAAAATATCTGTGATTGTGAACAAAAAAAGAATAAACGGTCCAATTAAATTGTTAAAAGAAAGGAGAAGTAGATCGGTTTGACTGTACAAGGGAAATACCTTCACACTGCCTGTGCTAAATCATTTGTCGTCGGTACGCAGAGGGGGGATCTGCTCTCGGGCTGCAGGTGGGAGAGGCTGCTGTAGAGGACTGACTGGGCCGCCTGTCAGTGCTGTGAGGCGGTGGAGGGGCCGGCGGCATCACACGCAGCTCGTTGAGGAGAGTAGGGACGGTACAGTATGGACAAATGACAGTCTAAAAAAAATCTCTAATAACACAGAAAAAAGTCGCTAGATTTGTCGCTAGGGGGTCTGAAAAGTCGCTAAATCTAGTGACAAAGTCGCTAAGTTGGCAACATTGGCGGCAAGCAATCAGAATGAAGTAGT